GTTCTCCACAACCGGTTCAGTGTTAACGAGCGACGATGAACGTCACCATCCAATCCACATGAGCCTAATCGACGTCGACGAACGACTGAAGTGAATCGACGAGTTACATGAGCGGATAGGACTTCGGAATCACGAAGACCCGGACCAATCGGGAAGCCCGGCACTGTTCACAAAAAGGACAACGCCCTTCATGCCTCGACCACTCTACAGATAATCCAATCACCAAGACACCCCAAGGGTGTCTCGGCCTGGCCGAGACACCAAGGGGTGTCCACACCTCCTAGACCCCCCTAGACCCCTCCTAGAGCCTATAAATAGCCCCCTTGGGCCTTGCTTTTGAGGGGAGGATTTTTGGCAGAGCCTTGGCGAAGCCCTGCTGCAGTGAAGAGTGGCCGTGAGCTTCAACAAGAAGAGGAGAGGTCTTGATCAGAGCCTTCATCACCCGTCCGAGCCTTAGTATTAGCCTTTAGCGTTAATACTAAGAAGAGCTAATACCTCGCTTTAGCCGAGGTATACGCTTATAGCTTCTAGATCTCACGCGGATCGACGAAGCTCTGTCCGATATTTCTGGATCAGAAGTTTCTAGATCTCACGCGGATCAACGAAACTCTGTCCGATTTATCCGGACCAGATCTGAGTGCCCCGGTGGTCCACGGATATCAACATCCCCGTCACAGGCCAAAGACCCACGCAAGCAAGAGATGACAAACAGCTCTTGCGTTTGTTTGAAAGGAGTTGTATTTCTTTTGTTTTCATTGTTTAGAGGTCTTATAAAAAGACTATCTTTTTGTTTCATTGTAACGATTGAAGTTGTAATGAATGCAGCAATGAATACAGCAACTTTTTCCGCAAACAGAGGCCTTTGAGACTTTAAAGGCTAAGTTGACTACAGCGTTGGTGTTGATCATCCCGAGTAATGATAAGACCCTTGTCATCTACACAGATGCGTCGCTATCGGGTCTAGGAGGTGTTTTGATGCAGACCCAGAGAGTAGTGGCATATATCTCGTGGTAATTGAGGACACATGAGCAAAACTATCCCACGCACCCTTGGAGCTAGCGGCAATAGTCTTCACACTGAAGACTTAGAGACATTATCTGTGTGACGTGCAGTTCAAGCTATTCATAGATCATCAGAGTTTGAAGTACCTCTTCTCTCAGAAAGAGTTAAAATCAGAGATAACAACTATGAGTTAAGTTTATTAAGGATTATGAGTTAGCGATCCAGTACCATCTAGGAAAGGCGATCGTTGTAGCAGACGCATTGAGCAGGAAGCGTCATTGCGAGCCTTTAGCTTTGAGGTGCTCGTTGTATCGAGATCTTCACATCCTTAGCCAGTTTGACTTTCGGCTAGAGATTGGTGAGAGCAACGTTTTAGGAGCTTTATCAGTATAACCATCTTAGAGTGATAGAGTGGTCAGAGCACAGCTAGAGGATTCTTAGATTTAAACCCGAAATGGGAGATTTCTAAAGAGCCCAAAGCTGATTGGACCGTTAGAACAGATGGAGGTCTTCGAATGAAGGGCTAGTTAGTCATGCCGAACAACCCGCAGTTGAAGAAGGACTTATTTGATAAGGCGCATCGTACCAAGTACATAGTGCATCCAGGCACAAAAAAATGTACGATGAACTAAAGAGACATTTTTGGTGGAGCAGCATGCGTAGAGAGATAGCAGAGTATGTAACTAAGTGCTTTACCTGCCAGCAAGTGAAGGCAGAACATAGAGACCTGTAGGAACTCTATAGCCTTTACCCATTCTTGAGTGGAAGTGGGCAGATATCTCTATGGATTTTTTTGTGGGTTTGCTGAGGTCGAGCAAAGGGAGTGATTCCATTTGGATGATAGTTGATCGGTTGACGAACTTAGTACATTTCTTACCCGTGAAGACGAATTATACGACAGAGACTTATGCGAGAATTTTCATCTGGAAGATAGTTTGGTTGCACAGAGTCCCGGAGACGATTGTGTCGGATCAAGGCTTAGTTTTCACATCCTACTTCTGGAGGAGTTTACAGAATTCGTTCGACAACCAGTTGTCATATAGTAGCATTTTTCGCCCATAGACGGATGGTCAGACAGAGAGAGTGAACCAGGTGTTGGAGGATATGCTTCGAGCATGAGTTATTGATTTCTAGGGTAGCTGGAAGGATCACAATCCATTAATAGAGTTTGCCTATAATAATAGCTATCAGGCGATGGTAAGTATGGCACCATATGAGGTGTTATATGGGAGGCCTTGTAGATCCCTGATTTACTGGGCAAATCCAAAGGACAGTTTATTACTTAGGCCAGAACTGATAAGTCACACTACGGAGAAAGTAGTTTTGATTAGAGAGTGTATTCTTGTCACTCAGAGTTGGCAAAAGAGCTACGCAGATTAGAGGCGACGACCTTTAGAGTTTCAGGTTGGAGATTTCATCATGTTAAAGGTATCACCGATGAAAGGCGTTGAGCGATTCGGCAGACGGAGAAAACTTACCCCGAGATATGTTGGTCCATTCAGAATTGTTGAGTGTGTAGGAGCTGTCTCATATAGATTAGATCTTCCAGCATCGATGTCGAGTGTACATGATGTATTAAGAGTATTAGTTGACTACTCTGTAACAAATAAGTTTCTATAGGTTGAACCCTGGAACGAGTAATCGACTATTAAGGTTATTAGTCGACTACACTATAAAACATAAATTTTTACATGCACGAACATGACTTATCAGTCAAATGCACTTATCATAAAGTTAAAACAAGATTTAAACCTGATAAATATTCAACAGAGATTAACTCGAACATAATACGAAATATTAACTTAGTCTAACTAGGGTTCAACATCCTAATTAATCAATTTCCTCAATTTAGCATATGGATTATCAACATAATTAATAAAACATGATAAAATCTAAATATGAACAGAGATAAATTTGTTTAAATATGATTACACTACTTAAGTATCACAAACCTAGGGTTTAAACATCTTTAATACATATGTACTTAATTAAATAACAAAACTAGGGTTTCAAACATGATTTAGGCATGATTATTAAGTTAAAAGCGAACTTTAAAAACACCCTAATAATCATGATCATGAATCTAATGTAAACAGCAAGAATTAACATCAGATCTAGCATGAGTTTAAGATTTAACAATGAAAATCTAACTTTTATCACCTCAAGTTAAGATTTAGACATGAAAACAACAAGTTGAACATATTAAATCAATTATTATTTAAAGGTGTAGGTTTGGATGAAGATGATCTTGCCTCAGAGTCGTGTTGAACTCCTCAAGTACGTATGAGCAGATCCCCCTTCAACCACGATCGCAAAACCCGCCCTCCGCTCAATTTCATGTTTCAAACTCCTCGAGAAACATCACAAAAAAGTTCTAGGATTTGAGGGGAGAGGGTGGCTGCTTAGGATTCAGAGATATAATTAAAAGAGAGGAAATTTTTGAGTAAAAAGGATTTATATACACATATATGAAGCTGGGCTCCAAACTGACCCGAAACCCATTAGGAAATTTGGAAATCAGCCCGACTAGTCGACTATTATCCTTATTAGTCGACTAATGACCTTAGTAGTCGACTACTAACAGTAGACTAGACAGACTTAAATCAGTCTGTTTGTGCATGTTTCAAGCATGATTCTCTTGTACCCTCACATATATACATTGGATTGACCTCACATCAATTCCTAGCATATTCAAACATCAATAAATAATATTTATCACCATATATTCAAATTTACGGGGTTTTATCTCTCTGATCTAGCATTCCCTTCCTTGCCCTTCTGAAACATGGCGGCCTCTGTCTCCTATGCTATAGCTGCATCGGCTACCTCCTGCACTGAATGGAATCGTCTGGATATAAGATAGTGGCGTAAACTCGGATGAAGCCCCATCAAAAAAATATGAGCCTGGTGCTCTCTGGTCTGCCACATACCCGTAAACCTGAGCAAACCCACAAACTTGCTCTCATAATCAGCAATAGTCATATCTCCCTGCTCTTACCGAGCTAGCTTCAACTCCTTCCTGGCTTTCATCATCGCTGATACATACTGCTCGTCAAAGAAAAAGATGAAGTCCTCCTAGGTGAGTGTCATACGCTGCTCTGGAGTGAACTGAAGTCGGTGCCACCCTCCTGCGTCGCCCTTAAGGCTGAATGCTACTAGCCTCTGCTTCTGTGTTGTGTCCACATTAAGTATATCTAAAATGCTCCCCACATCTTCCTTCCACTTGTGCACCACAAGTGAATCCGATGGGCCATGAAACTCTGGTGTTCTCACCTTCTGGTAGCTCTCCACCATATGGAGCCAAGCCTCCTGTTCTGCAGCCCTATCAACAGCTAGTGGTGGTGTGACTACTGGCGACTCCTCTGCAATAGGTACATGAGGTGTTGATGGCGACACCACTAGATGTGGTCTCACTAGCGGAACCCGATTCACCATCTGCTCATCAATCACAACTAACTGGGCTGCAAGCGGTACTATGAGGTCGATCAGATACTCTGGAGCCTACTGCGGCTCGAGCTCTGGATTAGCTTGCCCAGCTCGTCCTGACATCTATAATTTTAGGAAAAGAGCTTATAAGACAAAGTAAATGAGACCTCAAACAAAATAACGTATCATATAACAATAGGTAAATCATATCACATATCATTCACGTAAATACTTTTCAATCAAGTATGATAGTTATCATAAAAAATTATAATTTTTAAGGTATACGTATAACGTCCTCACTCAGTCTACGACTTGACAGAGAATAATCCTAATGATGCTGGAACTAGAGCTTTGATACCAATTATGACGCCACTGATTTCACTCAAGGCTGTAGTCCAAGATGAACCCAAGGATATCAAACTTGTCATGCACCCACATAGTGTGACAACACGTTTCACCATCACATTAATATCTCTCTAGTAGAATCAATTATAAACAAGTATAGGTACAAAGCAGATAAAATAAGATAGTAATGCATTAAACATGATAAAGGAAATGAGAGAATCCAATGATAATATAATCATGTTCCAACTGAGTAAAATGAAGTACAACTGATAAACTAAAACCAATGTGAAGTGTCTCAATATATAGAGTCAAATGAAATAGTACTTAGGTACTCAGTCTTTACAAAATGAAATACAACTCTAAATGTCTGAAAGTAAATCATAACTACTGTGGAGTTCTAAATAACTACTAATAATAAATAATGATAGGAGCTCATCCGAAACTCCATCAACCTGCTACTCTCCGTACGCCTGACTCGCTAACTGAAAAGAGGGGAAACAACGATCATCAAAGCGCTAGCGAGATAATCTCCACCACCCCCAAGGGGAGGGGGTTAGGAGTATATAAAAATATAGGTTAGTACATACAGACATATATAAATTATCTATCATAAGCTGAGTGGAAATTTATATTTAGAAATCCACAACACGAGAATGGGTACGTCGAGCAAAATAATCCAAATAAGGAAAGCCTCATGTATATACCTTGTATCTCAAATTGTGAATCGCTAAATACCAACTCCAAATCCTATGAATAAAATAAGAAATACAACTCCAAATCTCAACCAATACGAGTTATGTCAAAATGCTCACGCTACCCTCGGGTAGATGGCGTAGTCTCAAATATAATATCCCGGTCAAGGAAGCTCACATAAAATATGTCGTGTATGACAACCTAAGTCTTATACCCTACTCTCGAGTAACTAATATGAGAGCATGAATGCAATCTGAATAATACTCTATCTGAAACAACGATGCTAAACGGGTGTAATCTACAGCGATTTTATTGTAGTATACCAACTAACCACCCTGAGTGTAGTCTACCATGGTCTCATTTCGATATGCTAACTAACAACTCAATTTTAAAAATAGTGATGCATAATGGAGTGTAGTCTAATGCGATCTCATTGCAGTATATCAACTAGCCACCCTGAGTGTAGTTTATCGCGGTCTCATTGCGATATACCAACTAACCCACTCAAGCATCCACAATCATGAAATGCAATATATGTGTCACTATATATTATGATGACCTCAAAAATATATATTACGCACCTCAACAGATCGTGCGAACACAACCCCAAAATGTATATTCCAATGTCCAAGCACGTGTCTCAATGTGTGGACCCAAACTTCATGTTCACAATCATACCCACAAGACCAAAACACACTACTCACAATTTCACACAGATTGGTCGACTAGCTTACACATGTCAGTCAACCGGCTGCATGCACAAGATCATGCACATACAAATCTAACTTGATCGGTCGACCAATGCTTGTGCTTCGGTCGACCGACTAGAGGTCAGTCAACAATTTCCTGTAAACATCTATTTTCTATACAAAAATCAAAATTTTTACAAAACACAAGTGTATAAATCTTGTTTTAATGTAATTAAGGTTCATATTACTTCACGAAAATAGAGATATAAATGTATTGGGGAAAAGCACAAACCCTAACATAATCTTATTTACAAGTTCATCATTAAAACAAGCAACTTTATCAAAATCTCATGTTAGATCTGTGTAAACTCTTAAATCCAAATCAGAAAATTAGCTTCTATAACTGTTGAAATCATAAAGATCAAATCTTGGTAGCTTATAGTTTAAAATAACAATCTTTATGCTTAAATTAGGTTTTAAGGCCCGATAAAACCAAATAAAACTCAATAGAAACCAATTAAAAATGAGGATGGAATTGGAGGAGATGAAACTCGCCTCAAAACTCGCTGGAATCCCCAAAAGTGCAAGAAAACACGATCTTTCGACAAACACCGATGATCTCACCCTCTTCTTGGTATATTCTTCACAAAGCTCTTCAAAATCAGCAAAATATGATCTAGGGATTTTGAGGGGAGAGGGTGACTGCTACGGTTCAGAAATATGACGTAAAAGAGAGATTTTCATGAAATATATCCATACATATATAGGCAAACCCAAAAAAAAATCAAAAAGACCTGAATCCAAATAAGACTAGGAAAATGGCCCCGTCAGTCAACCGATGGCTTGTCATCAGTCGACTGATAGGTAAGCATCAGTCGACTGACCCGAGGCATTTTCTAGCCTACAGGTTTTGCATGTGTGTGCATGTTTTTACTTGTTTTGTGCATGTTTAACACTTGTATACTCTCATATATACACTTAATTAATCTCAAATCAATTACTAACATACTCATTCATCCATAAATGATATTTATCATAATATAACTCATTTTTTTACTATTTATGAGGTTTTATAGTTTACCTTATGAGTTGGTTGCTAACTTACAAGTTAGTTGTTAACCTTAACAACTTGTTGTTAAGGTTAAAAACTGGATGTTAATCTTATGAGTTGGTTGTTAACCTTAGTAATTAGTTGATAAAGTTTATTGTTAATTTTTAAAATTTTAAGTTGTTTGTCTACCATATTAATCTAATACTATCTTCTCACTTTTATAGGATAATTTTAACAGTAAATCCCGGATGCACTTTTGCTATGTTCAACCAATCATGCAATGATAAACATACTCATAACGACAATCTACTAGTGACACAATCATGATGATCGATGATATGATTAACAACCAAACCAATATCTTAACTGAGAGGCACACATCCATGCGTGAAGAGGGACAAAATTTTGGTAGTGTTGCTAAAGTTAGATTAGCATTTTAATACTATTCAATTGCAAAAATATTTGAGTATGATTTTTACCATAATAAACAAAAATGTATAAGAGTGCATTGCCAATACAAAGACATACAGAAAATGCCCTTGGATGTTGTTTGCTTCTTCAATTCGAAATTGGTCGATTATGTCTATAAATAAATTCCATGCTACTCACACTTGCGATCAGCATGGAACTAATGCAGTAAGTCAAGGGCATTTTATAAATTTATTGCAACTCAAATACAAGCTATTCTGAAGGTTAGGCCAAACCTTCGGCTAATTAATATCAAGAACGACTTACTTTGTCAGCTCAGCATCAAGATTAATCACTACAAAGTGTATCATAGTAAAGAGAGAACATAACAGAAGTTGCTCAATGACAATGATGAGGCTTATGATTCAAGTTACAAGTTAGTTGTTAATGTTACGAATTACTTGTTATGTTTTCTCATATGTATACAACTTAGTTGTTAAGAATAAAGTTTAGTTGTCAAGTTTATTATTTATTTGTTAAGTATACAACTTAGTTGTTAAGGTTGCAGTTTATATGTTAATGTTAATTATTATTTGTTGTAGTTATAGAGGAACAAGACCATGGTTAAAGCCACTAATCTAGGAAGTTGTGTTGTCATTTATGAGATGGATGATAGGTTAAAGTGTTTGTTCATAAGCTATAATGCTTGTCTTTAAGGGTTCATTGCTAGATGTAGGTCTCTGTTATTTTTAGATGGAACATTTCTTAAAGACCTCTATAACAATATATTACTTGATGCCACATGATATTATGGCAACTAAAAAATATTTTATCTTGCTTATTGCTTATGCGACCAGGAGAACGAGGAAGAATAAAAGTAGTTCTTACAATTAGTATGGTCCATACTATATGATCAGAAAAATCCTTACAATCCCCTACATCAACTAGTTATAATTTTTAATATTAATAACGGTATTATAGTAGCAGTCAAAGAATTCTTTCCAAATGCATTACATTCTAGGCGTGTTCTCCATCTAGTCAAAATTTTCAAAAAAATTAAAGAACTGAATCTTAAAACAAATAATGCTCAAATATTTGGCGACTTTTACAATCTGTGGCTTATATGTTCATAATTGCCTAATAGAAAGATTACATAAAAGAATTGGCCTTGATAAATCAAAAGGCTTATGTTATCATAGTGGCTTGCTCCCCAGAAAGATGATCAAATGCTTATTTCTCTGGTATAAGGTAAGATATTGTTAAATTTAGTTTGTTGATGAGTTTTTTACTTGGATGTTAAGGTTATGTTACAGATGTTAAGTATACTTTTTAGTTAATAAGGTTACATACTACTTGTTAAGGTTACAATTTATTTCTTATGTTTACACATTAGTTGTTAAGGTTACATATTACTTATTAACCATAATAATTAGTTGTTAAAGATACACCAGAGTTGTTAAGGTAATTTTAGTTGTTAAGAATACACCTTAGTTGTTAAGGTTATAGTTTATTTATGAAGGTTACACATTAGTTATTAAGATTACAATTTAATTGTTAAGGCTACATATTAGTTGTTAAGGCTACACATTGTTATTAAGGCTACATATTACTTATCAAACCTATGAGTTTTTTTCATGTAATTTACACATATGGCCATGTTTACTTTGAATGTTGTTGAATCCTAATAATTGCGTAAGAAAGGCATGATATTACGAATCTTACCTTTGGTGAAAATGATACGCAAGAAAATCATAGAGCACATGCATGATAGAAGAGTTTTGACATCGAAATAGACTGGATACTTATGTCTAGAAGCTAAGATAGTATTGAGAGATAGTATTCATTAACGATGCTATTTACATGTTATGCATTCAATACAAGATATTGTGGAGGTTGAATCTAATAAAACATGTCATGTAGATTTGAAGAAATGGACATGCTCATACAGGTTTTGAGACATCATGCATTTACCTTGCAAGCACGCTTCTGCTACAATTACTTGGATGGCGTAGGCTGTCTAAAAATTACTACATATAACTGATCCCCATCAAACACCAATGTTGGAAATTACAATGTAACGGCTTCCAGAAGGCTACAATTTAAAAATTTTTATATAGATCGATGAAAGCTCTAATTCAACAGCCTTCATAATCAACATCAGGAGTTACAATTTGATGACTCTCTAAATTCTAAGGAACCAAGACGAAAGTTACAAGATGATGATCTTTGCAACGCTCTAGCAAAAGAGACTACAAATTAACGGTCTCTTCAAATAAAAACGCAGATATCTCTCAAACTGTAAGGAATTTGGTGAAACAGACAAGAGCAAACCGAACTCTTTAGGGTAGGTTTGGTTGGCTCTGTCTCGTTGAAATAGTCGATTTTCTTATATAATTTGTTCAATTCTGACTTACGGTTTGAAAGTTATGACATGTTGTTCACAGCAAGTTATGTTCTGAAGTCCGTCTATAAGACTGGACTTCGCCTGAATATTGGACTTAGCCTAAAGCTCGCCAAGCTCACCTAAGGGTCATTGCTACATTCTAGAGTCAAAACACAGAGTTCGTGGATGCAAAACGTAGAGTTCATCTCTGCGTTCCAACGACAAAATTGAGAGTTTGTAGACTCAAAACACAAAGTT